GTAACTCGATTGCATTTTGTTCCTTTAAACGAGTCCTTGGCCAACCGTTGACCGGTATCACGGGGCTAGGAAATGCGAGCACCAAAAAAGCCGGCCAAGCCGAAGGTATTCGGTCCTGTCGGCCTGAGATCGCGGATGCGATTAACCCGGAGAAGTAGGAGCGAAGTCGTTCCGAGAATCTTATTTCTACCGGGCGATATTCTGCCGGATGATATTCCCGAAATCCCGAGATTATCGAGTGGGGTGGTCTCGTCGATTTCTCAAAAAAGAGGCGTCCCTCCACTGCGCCCGATTTCCCGTGGCCACTCGAAGGATGATTTCACTTTCCAATATCACCCATTAAAAAGGAGCAGGAAACTCAAAAAAGGGTGAATAATAAATTTCGAGTTTTGACGAGTATCGACAGTCGCGTAACGGCGTTAAAAATAAATACATTTTCAGTCATCCCAAGAACGTCCCCATTCGTCCTGCTAAAGGATATCACATATGCATAACTTTGGATCCCAGGCGTTGAAATGTTAATATTATCCTCGCTTTAGATATCCCATATACTTTTCTATATACATATTTCTTTTTTCCGCCGGAAATGCGCCTCCCTCATTAATACCTCGAGGTGTTTACGGGGGCTCGTAGATTGGAGGCAAATCATGGAAACGCCGCTCGTCGTTCCATAAATCGAGTCGCCTCGGGGTGATTATTTTTCCGCGCAAAAAGGACGTACGGCGGGGGCGGACGGCTCGTCTTTTTCGCGAAGGTGCTTTATCGAGCATATTATTGTACGTCTTAGGCGTCCCGGGTACCGGAAGTCGGTTAAACCAGCAAGGATCGCTCGATCCCCGATCTCGCAGGGGCTCGCAAATCCCGGCCGAAGCTCGTAAACCTGACGACCGTCCCCTCGGCGATCCGTTATCGAGGCAAGGACACAATCCGGTATTGCTCCGCATTGTGTCGCCGTTATTTCGCATAATGTCCCGGGTATCTCTCCGGTCGTGGATCCCGAGGAGCAAGGGGATCGCCCAGGAACTCGCGAGAATGCCGAGAGATGTCCCGATCGATCGATCGATCGAGACCCCTGCGGTGTCAGTGCTCGAATTGAACACGGTTACCTTAATCAGGTCCCCGAACTCCTGGACAAATCTCCAGGGGGGAACCCTTCCTCCTCGCCGAGAAAATAATTCCATTTAACCAGGGAAACGTTTCTTCGAGCGGTACCGATGAAACGTTTCATTAATTCGAGGGATAATCGACTTCACTCGAATAGACTCGAAAAAATAGGGCGGTACGTAGGAGAGATCCCCAGCGTATGTACGGGATAATTCATAAATGATACTTAGGGAATTACGTAGGCAAAGCGCGCCTCCACCCGTCCGCGACTATAGCGCGCTCTTTAAATAGAATTTTCTCAGGACCCTTGCCAAAATTAAATCCCACGTCGGATTAATATAACGAGTACCCGTGCTCGGTGTATATCAACCTCGTTGATATCGAGCCCCGGTCGAGCGGATTTTCCGCGGGCGCTCGCGCCGTTCCGCGCAATTGCCGCAATTGGCGCAATTGGCGTCCTCACCGCGAGCAATTCCGCGGTATCGCCGGCGCAAATCTACCGGCGATTATTGTCATCCGTTTAGCGACGAATCTCGAGGCACTCTTTAAATAGCCGGCTCTCAGGGATGCTCCCAAGGTTAGGTGTAAACGCGCGCGGATTTCCGTGCCTCCCCTTGGGTGCACCTCGCACAAATAGAACGTTTAGACGACATTGCCTCGTGTCGTTGCCTACGTGTCCAAAAATAGCTAAATGCGTCCTCTCGCACCTGAGGAACCCCTCTAAAAAAAATCACTTTCATTCCCGAGGGCACCTCGATTTAGAGGTTTTTTATTAATAATTTTTTTTTATTATTTCCGGCGCTCACGCCATATTTATCCGCGCGCGACTCATTCGCCAGATCGTTAGATCGGGTACATATAAAAATCGAAACGTCGTCAAATCTCATTTATAAATTATATCAGGTGTAAACGCGGGCAGATATTCGTGCACTTAGGAGAAATTAAACGTTTACGCGACATTGCCCCCTGTCGGTGTCTACGTGTCCAAGGATAGCTAAATGCGTCCTCTCGCACCTGAGGAACTCCTCCAACGCGAAAAACCACTTTCATTATCGAGGGCCCCTCGATTCAGAGCTTTTTATTTCCGGCCTGGCCTCGAGCCAGCTAGACGCGTACACCCTTTTTACTCGCCTGCGATTCATTCACCAGATCGCAATAAAACCCGATTTAGATCGGGCCTGCTCCGAAATCGAAGTCTGCCTCTCGCGGTGGATTATTAATCTCCTCCATAAATTATAAGACAACCCCTGGTACCTTGCCAGCCGGCCTCGGTTGTTTCTACGGACCCGTTAATTTAAACGAAGTATGATTTCTAACGTTTACATTGAATTTCTGGGACCAATCTCCGCGGTAATAAGACGTTCGCTTTGATTGCCCTGTCGGCGCTATTTCGAGATTCGAGATTCTAGGTGCACTCGACGGCGCACTTCGCCCCGATTGTCATACCCGTGGCACGTGTACCGTACAAATTTCATCGAGTACCGATCACTCAAAATATCGACAAAAATCTAATAACCCATTGATAATTCCCCCGAGCTGCACAACAAATCCTGGAATATACCTACTAAAACTATCATTATCTAAATCTTTTTATAGACCTCAAAAATTAAGTTCGGCCATTACATTTACACGTAGCATAAATAACAGGGTTGAAAATATCAAAGAAGCACAATTACCAAAATGCGTAAATTAGGGGAGAAGATTAAGAGCCGAAAATTGCAAACGATACGCCTTGATTAATTCCTCCAACCGCCTAACAAGTTATGGCATAATTTCGTTAAAAATCATTGTTATTTCGTTTTCGGTCGGGTGTTAGAAAGGATTCTCCCCGGATTTCGGCGAAGACGTCAATCTTCTCGGATGAGGATCTACGAGGGTATTACTTGTACACTTCCGCCGGGCAATTATTCTTCGCTCGATCGGTAACTTATGCGGCGCGCGCGCGGTACGTCGGTGGAATATTTATAAATCCGTTTACACGCGGTCTCGGTGCACTATAGCACAAAGCATAATTCTGGGATCGTGAAAGCGAGCCGTGATCGTCGCCAGAACTCGCAGTAAAGTCGGGCCCCGTGTAAACGCCTTGGCGCTCGCTGCGTTTTACGAGCCGCGTCGCGCTGTCTACTGACATCTCTATATGCCGTAAAAAGCCCGAGAGGAAACAAAAGGGCGACCGGGCCAATGTTTACGACTGTCGAAAAAGACGCGCGATTACTCGGGCAAAAAGCGGCCGGGCGATTCGTTAAATTTTTATCGCCGGACTCCGCGTCCGGAATTAATTAACAAAGTGTAGCGAACGGTTGCTAACCTCGCTTTATTGTCTTGTTCCGCAAGTTTCCCCGGAATTTCTTCTTTTTTCCCCCCACGCCGAATCTTTCCCAAAAAATGCTTTAATAAAACGGGGAATAATATTCAGCGAAGCAAATATACATATATATATATATGTCGTGAAATATCTCAGCCTTTACAAATTTGCCGGGTTTTGTAACGGTCCAAAGGAGCGATAAAGGCATTGTTTCGTTGACTATTGAAGATTTTCGAATAAATGTGCAATACGCTCGGACTGCGCATCCTCGGATCGCAGGTCGTCGTTTTTAAATTGATCTCTCGAGCTAGTGGTTGCGATTTTTTTCGGAGGAGATACAGGGTTTTGGAGTTTTCCTGAGGAGTTCTTCACTTTTTCAGCCGGTTCTCCGGCTGCCCAGAGTTGTAACAGGTGGCAAGTGCATTAGCCGTCTGCATCCTCCACCGGAGGTCGCACAGGACGCGGTCGCTCGATCCTTCCCGTGAATCTCTCAACTCATCTCTGATATGGCAGAGATGAGTTGGCCCCTACCAGAAATTCGTTGCGCCGCCCTTGGAGGCAAAAAACGGTGAAAGCTAACGTACGAAACCAGAGGGCAGCACACGATGCGATCGCGCGACCCTGTCCCTGAGCAATCTCCTAACTCATCTCTGGTCCGATCTGCTTCGACTGGAGACACGGCACAGTCCGTGAAGTCAGCCGGCGCTCGCGCGAGTGTGGCGCTCGCGTCGGCGCCGACTTCGCGCGGCCTCGCTGCACGGAGAGTCGTCTCGGGAAGGGGAGAAAAAGAGAGAGACGGACGCGACACGGTCGTCCGGTGGCGCCACGCCAGCGCGAAGGGCGCGGGAAAAAGAGGAAGCTCCCACATGGGCGACGAGCGGAGCGCGCGCGTGTAGGGGCTGCGGGCAACCCCACGGGAGCGAGAGAGACGGACTCATGCGGGCACCCGTGATACAGAGCGAGAGGCAAATACCAACCGGCGACAAGGCACACCTCGGGGGAAAAGTGCGAGCGAGTTTAGCGCCGGAAGAAACATCTCGAAACCTGGACGTAACGAGTCACGAATAAATGCACATCAATAAGGGTGCACTGAAAATTAAATCAAGCAGTTTTCCTGGCATTAATAGAAAAAAATGACAAATAGGACCAGTTTAATTATATCTTCATTAAGTTTATCTGAAGGGTTTGATATAAGCGTTCGGTATGGATATCATTGATTGTAAAGGACTTGTGAAGTCGTCGTTTGCACGAATGGGGTTTACATTGGCGTAAAACTCGCGAGATTCGTGAAGGGGGGAGGGAGAGGGAGAGAGAGAATCGGAGATCACGCGGGCAGAGGCGCCGAAGGGAGGGAGGGAGAGAGACGGAAAAAGTGGCCGATCGCGGTTGACACCGGTAGGAGCCGATAGCCGGGGGTTACGCGCGCGGAGCGAGCGAGAGGGTGTCGAGCCGGCCGGGAGGAAGAGAGACGGCGCTCGGGGCGCCGCGATTGGTGGCCGGGCGCTCTCGGAGCGTCGAGGTGGGGGCAGTCGCACAGCTGATGCGGAGCCGGGCGTATAGTAAGCAGTCTCTGCGGAGCGCGAGTCAGTAGTACACGAGCGCTCGTCCAGCGAGCATCGTCGTCGGTCGAGTCGGTCGGGATGATACACCTCGTGTCCGAGGAGCGAGCCACGAGCAGCCGATCCGAGGGCCGGGCAGATTGCTAGTTTTCCGCGACCCCCGAGAACGCCCGCGGTGGGAACGAAATAGAGAGAGAGCGCTAAATAGATAAAGAGCCGTAGAAGTGCGCGCCCTGACCGCGGGACGGCTCGAGAGCCGCCGACATAGAGCAAGCTCGCTCCACGCGCGCGAGAGGACTCCCGAGGGGGCAGGTCGATCTCTCGGCGACCTTCGGCGATCTTCGGCGATCCCGGCTCGGCTCGGACATCGCGGCCGGCGGGAGCGCCCGACTCGCGGAGCAGGCCCTCCGACCGCGCGAGGACCGCCCTTATTGGTCGATTACCCTGGGCCGCGGACCAATCAGCGGGCGCGCCGAGCGGCAGGAGCCCCGACACCCGGCCGCGCCGCGGCGCCGCGCGAGTCCTCGCTCAGTCGCCCGCATCCCCGCGCACCGGAGGTCGGCCCGCTCGGCGGAGCGCCACAGGACCGGACTGGACCAGCCGCACTGACGAGAGCCCCCTTTTCCAGTGTCGAGTGGCCGGTTAATTTTCAAAAGTGAAGTGACACGGAGTTACCGCACGGCCCGGACATGGTGCCACAACAGCAAGACAGCCCCTCGAGCTCGGGCATACCCCTCTTCGGGTCCCTCCTCGTGGATAAAAACTCGACGACGCCCTACTCGGACGCGACTCAGGTAACCTCTAACCTCCATTGCCCGGCGCGCCGCGGTCACGGTCACGGCCGCGCGGTTGAGGTTATGGTCGCGCCGCTGCGGCCGAGGGTTTTCCCGAGCGCCGGTGACCGGGCGGTTTTTCGAGGGGAGACGCCGCGACGCCCGGGTCGCTTCCAAGGTCGGATGGGGTGCGGTAGGTTAAGTACCCGCGAGTTTTCCCGTCTGCCCTCCGATTCCCCGGCATTCGACCCTGCTTGGAACCACGTCTATGTCCACGTGTAAACACGAGCGTTGCGGAATCTAGTGACCCTTAACCTCTAAACGGGAATTCCATGGGCTTCTTCTTAAATCAATTTTCTATGCTCACTTGAAGCGAGACTCGAGATGCCGCGAAGGAATATCGGAATCTGGGCTTGAAACATTTTTTCAATTTTTTCAATTTTTATATTTCGAATCACGCCTCGAAGTTACCTAATTTCGGGGTTAGGGTCGGATGTCGGTCTTTTATGATTCTCGACGTATACAGCACTTGGAATTATGGAACGTGGATAATTATGATAGTCGAGCGTTGGAATTTTTAGGTGATGGATATTTCTTTGAAAATCGCTACGTTTTCGGGGGGAATCTGGAATTCTTGGAGGGGCTGATTTTTATTCGGATGAGCAAGTTTGGCACGGATCTGACGCAAATCCGTGACGGATTAAGGATAGGCGCAGGTTTTGTCACCTTGGGAGGTGGCGAGGCTCGCTTCTCGCCTCGGTGACGGGAAATTCCGAGTTCAAGGTCGACCTATTGAAATAAAAAGGAGGAAACGTGCACCCTAGGTATATCCGGGTTCGATACGGACGATTCGTCTCCCTTGGGGAAAAAAAAAAAAAAATATATGTACACGTGTAGACCCTAATTTAGCAGTCCTTAATAACGTTTTACCGTCACAGGAGGGAAATTCCAAGTTCCTCGTTGAACTTAACAAAATGGTCAGTGCAAGTGGAACGTGCAAACGGAAAAATCGTGTGTGTATGTGTGGGGTGATTGTGAAGTTTTCTTCTTTTTTTTTCCCCGTCTCGAAGAGGTGGAAAAACTCGACTAACTTGAGGTCTTCGATTTACGGATTTTCCCACAAAAAAATTGAGCGCGGCTAATATTATGAGATTTTCGACATGGACATTTTTTTTTTCACTCCAAACTGCGCGCGGGGCGAGAATCGTTTATTCGCGATATTTCGAATGATCGTAAGCAATTCGTTGAGGCCGAAATTTCAGTAGGGAGATTTTCGTTGGTTTTTTTTTTCCGTTATTTTTTTTCCCCCTTTTTTCATCTCAACGCTCAAAATTCGTAGATCGACGAATCGAGGTGAAAAAAAATTTGGAGTGCTCGCGTTGTTCTTCGTAGAAGGACGCCTGGGCAGAGTCGAGAATCGCGAATGGCAAGTCAAGAGTTTCTTCTGTGTCGAGACTGGAGAGGTCGAATATTGTTATCGATTTTAGGTGGGCAAGTCGGAGTCGAAACACTCTTAGAGACCGTCGGATTGGAGATGAAAGGGATGGCGAACCTCTCGTACAGAGAATTCAATGTAATTCTATTTTTCTCGGTCCTCGATCGATCATTCGACTCCCGAAATACGTTTGATCTACATTTCGGAGTTCTCGACCCAGATTTATTGCACCGTGTTCGACATCTGCCGAAAGTTAAGGTCGGACTTGAGCGCGATGTTAAGTGGTTATTTTTTTTTTTTTTAATTCTAGTACGGACGATTCTAATGTTTTCCTCGATTCCCCGGTTACATGACTATCGCGGAAAAATTGAATCGAGAAACTCGGAAGTGGAGGTTTGAAATTTCAATTGAAAGGGATACCTTGCGGGTTCGCTGTCGTTTCGAAAAATCATTTTCGAGCGGTTTGAAGGTCTACGACAATTCGGGAGTTTTAGTGAACTCGGCATTGAAATATCGAAATTCCTTACTTTTTTTTTTTTCCCTCAGTTGGAAGAATACGTATAAAAGGATGACTCTTTTTTCTTTTTTTCCTTATATCTTTTTTTTATTATTTATTTTATATACGCACCTCCTCCTTCCGTAGTTCGAAGTCTCGGCGAAAAGTCGATCGGGAGGAAACATCGAGGGGAAAAAATTGCGGCGGGCGATACGCGCGCCGTGAGTTCGGCTTTCGTAATTCCCGGTATATATCGGGGTTTACGACTCGTCGTAAAGAAAAAGAACGGAAAGGAGCGGTGGAAGTCGAGGCGAGATCCGCGGAAAAGCGAGTCGTCCGATTTCCCACCGTTCACTTTGGCCCTGTCCGCCCTTTTCGCGAGAATTTCTCGGAGCGGCGAAAGAGTCCGTTTTCCACAATTTTTTATTCATCTATCCTTCCACGAGGTTGAAACAGGAAGTTCTACTATTTTTTATGCACCGAAGAGGCTTTATCGGGCCGTATTTAAATATATACCGAGATGAAAGGGGTCTCTCTAAATGGTCCACATCAAACGGCTCCTCGTATCTCTTGGACTTGTGCTCTCTCTCGCCCTCTGGCCGGCTCGTTTCGAGCCCGCAAAGACCGCGCGCGAAACGCGGCCGTTTTCCGCGTTACCCGTGCCCAGGGCGGAAAAACGATCCCCGAGGAAGTTGTTCCTTGTATCGGGAGGAGCAAGTTTGATCCGACACTTTTTCCAGGGTCGATGATAGTTGCGCCGGAAATCCGAGTTATAGGGGGCGGCGTTTGGACGCGTCGTGGGGAAGGTCTGTGAGAATTGTTAGATGGGAAAAATAAATAAATTTAATTAATTACACCTGGGTTTTAACTCGGCGTTGATTGGACAAACATTGCCGGGTGCAGGATCGAGTAGGACATAGCTTGGAATTTATATAGTACTATCCTGAATTTTCTGATCACTTTTCACGTATCGAGAGCATTTTGAAAGACGTACTTACCGACATTCTTTAATCATGTCACGCTGGTTATTATCGGCGCACATCTCGTTTTCAAGTAACTCCATGTGCAACTTATCTCATATGGAGTCTGCAGACTCCGAAAGCCATCGACTCTTTGCTCGATAGAACGGATGCGACACTTAGGCCCTGTTGATTTTATGGCCGTGCATTTATTGCCGGTACGTACGCGCAGAAAATTGATGAGACCACCAAAAGTGATCTGGCATCCAGACATAAATCTAAATATATATATACAATGTCATGTCTATAAAATAATATCCCCAAAAATAATAAATGAAAAGCATGAAACATATGCAGAGGAAGTCGTCGCGTTTCGGTGGAGGGGTTTAATCATCTTTCTTTTTTTTTTTTTTTATTAAAGTGCAACTTATTCTCGGTTTTTTACCATCGGGACAATCGGGGAATATCTCGCAGGATTCGCAGGGAGAAAGAGAGAGAGAGACAGACGTAGGGAGATCGTTTCGCCGGTATTGCACGCGAATGGCAAGTCCGAGGCGAACCCGTAATTAGGGAATAATTATTTCGGGACCGGGGATTTTTCTTCCACCGACATTTTTCTCGGTAAAGTCCCGACCGGAGTCCAGGTCGAGCCGGGGCCGTAGCCCCCGGGTTCGGCCAATTATCCCTCCGAATTTTAATGGTCCTCTCCTCTAATTCTAGAGCTCTCTTGCCCAGGTCCCAGGTAGTGAGTCCCGGGGTCATGTATTTTTTATCCTCCCGAGAAGCGATCGTCCCCCCGAGGAGGAGCCGATTCGGATCGGACGCGTCCTTAAGACCTCTCGCAATCCTGTCGAAACGGGCGAAGGAAACTGGTTGGCCGAAGATAGTCGCGAAACTGGGAGAAACTGACGGAATCTGGTTGAAACAGGCCAGAGAGAAAAAAAAAGAAAAAGAAGGATTACCGACGTGGTCGCGTTGCTTAAAGTGATGCGAAAGAGTCATTCTATATATATATATAAAAACCTGAAAATATTTATGAAACTTTAACACGTGATTATGGAGGCTCTAAGAACGCGCTTAAAGTGATGCGAAAGTGTCATTCTATATATATATAAAAATCTGAAAATATTTATAAAAACTTTAACACGTGATTATGGAGGCCCTAAGGAATAACGCGATCCTCGTGAGATCTCGTTCATCGAAAAATCACGTCTCTTTTTGGGCTCTCGTAAGAGATGGAAATATTTTTTTTTTGCGAAAAATAAAAAAATTTCACCAGCATCGCGTTTTTAGGGCCTCAATGATCTCGCGATGAAGTTTACACCTTTGTCGAGTAGTTCGAGCGCTCCGATTGGGCTATCGCTTGCTCCGGCGAATCTGGAATCTTCCCGGAAATCCTGTAGGAGAGGATACCGAGGAAAAATCCCCCTCGGAGTGTTTGCGGAAGCCTAACCTCGCGAAAATTCCTATATAACGATTACCGGGGGGCCGAGTCGGGCGTATCGTACTCTTTCCTCGGAATATGAGCGGTGCATTAGCCACGCGTGATTCCCGGCTAATCCCCGGGATTACTCGACGGGAGGGGAGGAAGAGAGAGAGGGCCTCGTCTCGGAGGAGGAGTGCGCTGGAAAACGCGTATACAGGGCATTAGCCAGAGTAAACGGAGAGAGAGATATATATATATATATATTTTTCTTTTTTCTTTTGCTCCGTAGACCGCGTCGAGATAACCGAGATCGAGGGAATAAACGCGGAGTTGCGATCTAAATGTAATGAAAGAAAAAAAAAAAAATTAAATAAAAACAATTAAAGAGTAATAGTAGTGCCGTCATTTGCATCCTCGCGATCAAGGTGTTGATGTGAAATGTAAAAAGGAATGAAATTCCCCCACCGTGGGGGGGAACGATAAAAAGATGTTTGCGTCGATAAAGAGCGATACGCGACGTTGAAATGTGAAATCGTAGACTCGCGATAAACTGAAATGCGATGCGAATATTCTTGACCGTGAGTGCGCAATTATCTTGCGAGTACCGTGTCAAATGTCATTCCTGGATTTGTAGTTACTAATTGTTGAGTTGAGCTTGGTACCGAATGTAGACGCGTCACGGGGGAGTTTGACCGATTACTGCAC